CGTGTGGCCGGGCATACCCGTCGGGCCCTCCTGTACAGCGGCGCCGCTTGCCTGGACTTGGGAAACGGGTCTGCTGCGGGGAGCGGGACGGAAGGGCGGGGAGGGAGCGTCGCGCCGGGAAGCGGAGGGGAACCGTGAATCGCCGCCGGCGGAACTTGTCGGCATGGGGTGGGGGATTATAAGTTTCAGGGTTTAGTCTCCCCTGTGCTCAAGGTATCGGGCAAAACGAGTTTTTTCCTTCTGAACTTTTGCAGGTGGAAATCAAAGTGCTTAGGCGTTGTGCTGGTGGGTGCAGTTGCGCTTCTCTGCGGCCATCTCGGTGTTTCTTTCAAGCTGTAAATGTGAGATCTTGTACTTCTAGGGCTGTGCTTGTGTGGGGAGGAAAAAGATCGTACCCGTTTCGTAGAAGTTGCTGACCACTCACCAGCATGGTCGTTTTTACATGCGATGCGTGTGGGGAGTCTGTGAAGAAAGCACAAGTTGAGAAACATGTGAACATCTGCAGAAACTGTCAGTGCCTCTCTTGCATGGATTGTGGGAAGGATTTCTGGTAGGTAAAGGATGGGAAATAGCCTTGCTCACTCAGCAGTGGTTGTCACAAAGACAGGATTTTCCTATGGTATACATTATAATTAAATTTGGCAATTTCTGAATAATTTGTATATGTATTTAAAAATTATATATGCTTTTATATAGTTTCAAGCTTAATCATCCAAGCTTGAACCAGAAGACAACTAAACTATACAGTAAACAGAGTTGCAGTTTGTTCTTTTACAGTAAAAGTGACTGCTTTTAGCTTCTGATCATCAAGAGCTGTTACTTGTTCTGCTACTGCAGAGAGAGTGAGATTGGTAGTAACATCAAAAATTATGAATGTGGTTGTCGCTTCTCAGAACTCAGAAGAAGGCAGTGCTGCTATCTGCTTTTGAAATATAAATATATGAATTTGTGTAAGAAAATAAGATTGTCCACAAATAGGGATTATATTTGCTAATACTTCACTGACAAAAGATTAAGATCTATGTTATTAATGCCTTTTTGGGGGGCACTTAAGCATTGGTCAGAATTACACTGCCACATTAGTGTATCTCTATTTAGGAATTAGATTTTTGCAAGCATTTTTCACCTGCTTTTCTAATTTTAAATTGTGTCAATGTGAGTAGTAAAACACAGATAAGTGTTAATAGCAGTGCCTGTGTTACATATACCAATGTGCATAAGTTACAGACTCATCAATAAAAGCAGAAGTATGCTGAAAGTTTAGTTCTGATTTTGGAAGTCAGAAATTTTCACTGGAGGCTGTAGCATGACAGAAATGTCAGCGGTTTTATAACCATGTACTTTAAATACGGCAAACTACTCATATAAGCACTGATAGCATTAAGGCTTAAATGATAGATGCTATCTATTACTTCATTTTGTTGATTACCTAAGTCTTGCATAGTTTGAAGCACTGAAACACTTTAGTGAACTACAGTTAAAAAATCTCCTGTGTTCAGGGGTGATGATTATAAGGAACATGTGAAGTGTGTCAGTGAAGACCAGAAATACGGTGGAAAAAATTTTGAAGCCAAAACTAACAAAGGAGATGCTAAACAGCAGGAGTGGATTCAGGTAAGGTTTGTACTATATAGAGATAAGATAACTATTGTTTATAATCGTTAAAGACACAAGAGAGGCTATACTGGATCAGATCAGATATCCACAGCTTTCTTTTGGCAATTCTGTGGTAGGTCTGTTGCTTATCCTAAGAAGCACACCTTTTGTTTGTTTTGAATCCCTTTCTTAGTAGTTTGATTTAATGTTCCCTAGTTCTTGCATACAAAGAGTCATTGACCATTGTCCACCCTTTTCATAGGCTCCTGTAGACCTCTGTCAGGCTCCCTTCCTATCTCATAGTCTCTGTTCCAGGCTGAAAGGTCCTATCCTGCTCAGTTGTTCTTCATATGTAAGTTACATCTTTGGTCAGCTTTGCTACCCCTCTCTGAAGTCTTCCCAGTTCTACTGTATCCTTGTGGAATGAGGTTACAAGAACTACACACACTGTTGAAGATATGGATGAACCATAGATTTAATTTGTGTCATGATGACGTTTTCTGTGTCCTCCTTTATTCCTTTCTTACTGACTTCTGTCAGTTGATCTGCTTTTTTTTCGACTGCTGCTGATCATTGTGCTGGCATTTTCATGGAATTGACTATTGGGAAGTATCTCCTACCCTTTCTGTTCTACTCTTCAGTAGTTATTTATCCTATGCAAGAAGCTACCCTCTTGTGGCTGTTAGTTTTCTGTAAAGGTTTTAGGAAGGAACTCTCAAAGACGTTTTTAAAACCCCCATTAGATATAATTAATTGGATCACCTTTATCCACAGATTTGTTGATTTCTGTCTCGTATAGAACACAATCTAACAAAGTACTAAGCTACATGCTTACATGAGGCCTATGAATAATATCATTGAAGACAACAGATTAGTGCCATTGTTGAGACTGAACATTGTCTGACTACACTGGGTGATGTGAATGCTGTTGCTTATGAAAGCTGTTAGCCTTCCTCAGCAGTAAGTACTTTCCACACAGAAGGGTAGGAAGTATTACAGAGCATCGTTTTCTGGTAACCTTAACGCATCCACAAAACCTTGCAGTGAACAGATTTTCAGCAGTACAGGAAGGCTTTCCAGAGTCCAGTGGCTACATCTTTACTGGGAAGCTCAGAGCCTTTTTTCCCCTACAACCAGCAGTGCTGTTCAAGTAACTGCCATAAGGCCCTGGCCTAAGCTCTACTGTTCCCTTGTGCTGGCACTTGCAGTGCAGGAATATCCCTATAATCTTATAGGGATTAATAGTGGTTGAAGCTGGCACTGCTGCTAAAAGAAATGCATGTCAAACTGTGGCATCAAAGTTAGCCCAATTTTTCAAAATTAACTCCAGAAGTTTGCAAAAACCAATTGGTTGACAATCGCTTTTGTTAATGCAGATCTTTTTCACACAGCAAGAATCCCCTGTGTGATACAGTTACTTGTAAATGTTTTTATTACAGTTTGTAACCTGTACATCAGAAAACAATGGTGAGCAATCCTGCTTGCCCTTGCTTAGTACATAGGTATAAATATTTATGTAGATAACTTTGACACATCTTACGATCTATGATAAACCCAAAAGTTTGTGTTTTTCCCATGTGTATTGAACAGTTCTTTCAAGCAGGCTATACAGTCTGTGGGTACTGGGTGATTTCTGTCCTGTATGTTTCTGACTTGCATACCTTGCACATATCATTTGATCATTATGCTTCTTTGCTGATTTAATTCTGGTTTTCTTCATTCAGAAAATTCACGGAATAATGAAGAAGCCAAACATAAGCCCAGAAGTGCGGAGTATTCTGGAGCAAATGCGTGTCTTTGATAATATTCCAAGAAAAAAAGTGAAGTTTCAGGTATGTTTTAATAGAGATTTGTAGTAAGCCTTGCAGTGAGCTTAAAAACAGACTTTCTTAGTGAGTGCCATTCTGTTTTAACGAAGATGAGACAAATTGGGCATTGGTAAATAGATGGCATAATAGCTGAGTTTCAAATAGGCAGTGTTGGTAAAATACATCTCCTTGCTTAAAAGGACTCTTCATGTGTCTTTAAATAATATAAATAATATAATATAAATAATACAAAAATACCTTTTAATTAGGTATTAAGCCAGTGACTTACCATTCAAGCTCAATCTTCATGTGTAGGCTTGTTCTTTTTGTAATACCTTTCTTTTTTTTCTATTTGTAATTTCTATGGAATGGCCAAATTCTTAGACATACTTTTCATGGATTCTTATTTCTGTGGCCTTTTTTCCTCTAAAGGCAAGATACTGGATTGAGAGTCATACTGTTGCTCGATATTGTGACAGAATCTACCACACCACATGCATCACTAAACTTTGCATCACAGCCAAAGCCAATTACAAATTTTTCATGTGGTATCAGTAAAGAATTACTGACAAGCTGCCCTCCTGCCTCTGTTCTGTGCCTCAGATTGACAGGCTGAGAGATCATGATCACTTCCAAAGCGTTCAAATAGAACCTAATAGAGCTGCAGTGAAGTTGCTGCAAGCAAGCTGAAAGCTAGAATATTTTTCTACAAAACTCATGTTCTAAGCAGGGAAAGTGATATTGTCAAGAAGCCTCTTTTTTTTTTTTTGCAAGATACGTTGCAGTGGAAGATCAAAAGTTTTTGCAGTTTGTTGTTCCAATTTACTAATGCAGCTTTCCTGGAATTTTCATTGCAATGCAATAATCTTTCCATTAGGTCATACCTAAAATTCTGCATTCCTGAAAGTTGATCTGTTGCTCATAGTGTGCATATTATATGTAGAAATTTACAGATTTGTTTTCATTTACAGCAGGAACTCCTGCAATTACCCAACAACTTTCAAATGTTTGCTTTGAGATGCTTTCTTAAATTTTACTTTCTGTAATAAAATAATGTATCCATTTAGGAGCATGACCATCTGTCCAGTACACAAATAAATAAATAAGGTCAGATCCTTAATGTTTTAACTCGTGGAAACAGAAGATTTGGTAGAACATTAACATTACCAGCTGTATTAAAAAACTTGAAGATTATCTTTTCTATATATTTACTCTTCTGGATTACTATTGTTGAAGCAATTAAGAGGCATGGTATAGCCTTGTAACAGTACACAGGCATTATGCAAAACAATTTAGCATAGTGGTTTAAGAGATTCATAGAGAGTAAACATCTAAGCAGATCAAAATCAGAAGAAGTTATTAGATTCTTAAATGAAAAAAAGAACAAAATACATGATAATCAAGGAAAAAAAATCAGAGATGCACCTTTCCATTTATCATTTTGTTTTTCTCGCACAGAATTGGATGAAGAACAGTTTGAGAATCACTGACAGCACTTTGCAAGACCAGGTGTGGGATATTTTCTCTGAAACAACCAGGAATGTAAGTTAAGTTAGAGGTACAACATCGTACGACAGGAATGCAGTCAAAAATGCTGGAAGGAAAACCTTCCAGACTGCCTTTGTAGAAGTTAGCAGAAAGATTGCCTCCCACTGTTACAGTGGATTATGTTATAAAGTAACATTCCTAGGCTAAATGGCTGTTTGCCATACTGTTGCTGAAGTAGCTATGCAAACTGAGTAGGTTGCGATTAAAAACTTGGACACAGTGACATGATTGTGACACGATAATCAGAAGGATGATTTACCTTTATTCTATGCTATTAGTACCTGAGGAAAGGCAAAAACACTGCCTTTGTCTTTGGTTCCAGTCTTTTACCACACACTAAGAAGGAATAAAACAACATCTTTTCAGAACTTTATTGGCCTCAAATTTATGTGTATTGGAGTGGAAAATTTAACAGCACCTAGTTTACCTATTTTATTAGTGGAGAAAGATAAGATCCTCCAGTTTGTGGTGCAGATTTTTCCTACTGTGTCTAAATCATGGACTTGCACCTTTTTTCTCAGTGCCTAATTCTTTGTTATTTCAGTACTAGCTTAGCATGTGTTGGTAGGGTGTTTTGATTGATTGTTCACATCTATTATTGCTGCTAGAAAGCTGTTACAGAAGTTTATTTCTCTGTTGATGTGAAATTCCTCTCCGTGTCTTCCCCAGCTTCTTTTGAGGAAGAACACAGGCATAGCTTTGACATTAATCCCTTATTGAGTATGCCTTATGTTCCTGATTTGACGGTTCCAGTTAAAACTATTTGTAGTTTTTCTGAAGAATCCAAATAAAAGAGCCAGGAAGGAAATAAATACATTATTTGAAAAGCATATGCACATAACAAACTCTGGGCACTGAATTTCAAGTACATTGTCTTGCTGAAACATTAATTCTGTGTTGATAGAACTCCACTAAAGTAATAAGCAGTTCCCTCTTGATTTAAACTGGTTTTTTTTTTTAAATAAAACTTTTATAAAATTTTGTAAAAATAAATACAAGTAAACAGTTTACATTTTCCATAGAATGTAGCATTAAATTAAAATATATAACACAACTTTCTTGCTCAGGTAATTTCAACACACCTTTAAGAGTTCTTAAAAACATCTCAGGATATTATTTGTAATACATACCTTGAAATGCATGTACTCAAAGGAAGTTCTTAAGTGGGATTCAAATTGAATTGAAATCACTCTTAACATAAACATGTATCCTCTTTCTAAATAGCTGCATTAACATTTCAGTAATTGTATTTCACTTGTAATTATTAAAATTAAAGTTAAATATAGAAATTTTCATGAATATATTAATCCTTCTACAAGAAAATTATTGTTAACCTTGGAACATTAAAAGAAAACCAAATACGTTTAGGTGTTAAAACAACCTGCAGTGCCTTGCTGACATCATGCAATAATAGTTTTGTTGTCCCAGACATATCTCAACATGGGAAACTGGATGGCAAAGCTAAGATTTATTACTTAAGAGGAATAGGTTCTGTATCTTGCTATTACATGCTGTATTTTTGTTTGTGTAAATCAAAGAGTTGCCTCTCCCTTAACTTAAATACATTTAGCAAATACATTAGAAAAATCATAGATAATTATTTCAAATAAAAATTATGTATGTTGTAAGATAACATTTCTTTTGTGATGTTACGGTAATGACCATTTTAGGCTGTTAAGTTAGAAGAATTAGCCACACTCTTTAGTGCTATTTCTTGGTTAACTGGTGTCACCACATGTAAGTAGTTTAATTGAATTCAGGATATTGGTGTTCTTCATGAATGATGTAGTAAAGTTGCAATGTCAAAAAAAGGGCATGTAAACGATGTAATAATCTGTCTTTCAACAAAAGATTTCAAGTGAAAAAGGACAAGACAAATCACAACAGAAGGAAGAGGGGCAGTCTGCAGAAACGGAGGAAGAAACAATGGCAGAAGAAAATGGAATCACAGATGATAAAGTTGAGAGGAAAAAGAGTAAGAGAGAACGAAAAGAAGAGAGACAAAAGAACAATAAGAAGGAGAAAAAAGACTTGAAATTAGAAAACCAAACAGAAGTAAAAAAGAGTAAAAAGTCTAAAAAAGTAAAGGAGAGCTTGGAGAATGAACTAGAAATAAATGGAAATGGCCATCAGAGTGAAATAGAAGAGGAAACAAATGTAAAGAAACGCAAACATAAACATGCAGAAGGTATTCATCCTACACTTTATATTCTTCTTTGTTTTTGGGATGCTTTTTCTCAATGCCTTAAAGCTCTATAATCTACCTAACTAGAATTTTTAAGTAGTGTTTTTCATATATGTATTAGATTATTTTTTAACACACTGGTTGCACAGTCATTTTGTAAAAACTGAACCTCTTAGCAAATGTAAACTCATGTTAGAAGAACAGAAGCGTTAAGTCACATCAGAATTTTTCTTCTAGTTTTATAATCTTTTGTGTATATCCAATTCCATCTCTAGAGGAACCTCATATTACAACAAAGAGAAGGAAAACTGAAAACGTTTCAGAAGACATGAATACAGAAAACACCAATGGCAATGAAGAAAATGTGGGAACAGATAGAGGTATTCTCAAAGTGGGAATTTAGATAGTTACAAAACTATTCTGCAGAAGACCTAGTGCAGACTACAAATATAGCGCTTTTGCTGCAAGTCATGTAGTGAATTGTGACTCATTGTTCATACATGTATGTATATTCAGTGTAAATATATATACTATATAAATACATACTCTATTCCAGAGTAAGTAGCCTGTGCTACACCTGATGCAGAATTACTTCTCTCGTTTGTTGCTTCTGCTGTGCTGGCAGCCTTTGGCTACATTTGCTTTCACTGGGCAGGGAGGAATTTGACATGTTGGTGTCACTGCAGCAGGCTTCTGCCCTGCTGCCATGCACAGTAGCCAACATAGAAGATAAAGAGTAACAGCTCTCTCATATCTCTTTGAATCTCTTATATCCCCATTTTTGCTTAGTGAACCATAAATTGGACTTTAGCTGTGTTTGACCTTAGTTTATGCTTAGATAAACCTACTTATGCCTATTCTCCAACACACTGTTGGGGAATGCCTGTACTTGAACATACAGTTTGTTTATTTGGAAACTACCAATTAATTACTTCTTAAGTGGGTACTGTGTGAAATTTACTCCCGTTGCTCTAAGGGTGAGGGGATGGGATCTTACCAACTATTCCTGTATTGTGCAAGAGTTGCTGCTTAATAGCTGAAGTCCCGACCATAGTTGTTCAAGGAGTACGTTGGTTCTTCGTCTCCATCCTATCAGAAACAGCCTAACTGACTTTATGCATAAGACACCCTGCTGTTGTAGGGTCAGTAAAATAACAATAAACTGTTGTGCTAGCTGAACTGGCTCCAAAATTAGGAGATGGAAGGCTGGTTCCTACTAGAGCAGAAGACCTTGAAATACCTAATTTTACTAATGATGTTGTACACATAATTATTTTCTAGGTAAATTCAACTGGAAGGGAACCATCAAAGCTGTTCTGAAACAGGCTCCAGACAATGAAATTTCAATTAAAAAACTAAGAAAAAAGGTACAGTACAACATGTTTTTTTTTTTTAAATCTCCTTTGGTCTTGTGAATTTTGTTCTGTAATGCTTACATTCATAAAATCCTGCCACACATAAGTAAAAAAGTTTGACATTTTGTAACAGAATATCAGTTGACAAAATGTCAGCTGAAGGACATGTTCTTTATTGCCTGCTGGATTACAGAAGAAATGCAGTGGTAATTCTGCAAAGGAATAATAGCGTAATAGATTCCATGCTACTTTTAATACAGTAACATGATTGTATTACTGCTTAAAGTGGAATCATCTTTACCAACTCAAAACTGTTCCTCTGTCTTTGCAGGTTATAGCTCAGTATTACGCAGTATCTGGTGAACATCACAAATCGGAAGAGGATATTCTAGTCATATTCAATAAGAAAATGAATAACAATCCCAAATTTAAAGTTTTAAAGGACAAAGTTAAACTCCTGAAATAGAGTTTGAATACTTTTCATAACCTTTGGATTTTAATCTTGCAGACTGAGTCAAATTGTTGTGTCAGCTGTACAAATCGCTTGCATTCTCCTCAATTTAAATTGTGTATGTGAGAGGAAAATTTAAGACTGGATTCCTCCTCTTTTTCTAGATTTATCATAGAACATTTTCAGATATTTTATTTTTTGATTTTATGGAAAAGATATATTTTTGGTACGAGTCTTAAGAAGTATTGAAAATAATTGCTGCCCACTATATTAAAATTCTTCCAGTAATGGATATAATTTATAGGCATGAATGTTTATCAAGACCTGGGTTGTGTGGCTTTTTGCAGAACCCATTGTAAGAGCAAATAGGATTTTCATATTCAAAAACTCACCATGAAATAAATGTTTTGTTATGCTAAAATTCAAAATGGTATGACTGATAGCCCCTTTATGCACTGTAGCTAGTATATGGGGGCTTTAATAACCTGTTAATTTTGTGTTGTAAAATGCATAATTGAAGTGTCTGTCAAGTTTGTGTATTTAATATTGCATATTCAGTGAGAATTTAAAGACTATTATTATATGCAGAGCTACTCAGTGTTTTAATTAGTAATGCAACTGACTTCTATATAAGTGGCCACACGAACTAAAAATTGACTGATGAAAGAAATCACTTTAAAATACCACCTTAAAGATAGTAAGTCTTACCACTTTGACTGTGTTATAAATTCACAAATTATACAAAATTTGAAAATACTCTTATATTGCAGTCACTGAAACAATTTAGGCAGGCCAGAAATCTCATATGTAAGAGACGAAGTTTCCTGGGGAAAGTTACTTGAAGTTTATAGGGTTTTAATCAAATGCAAAATCCTTCCAGGTAAGGAGTTTCCAACCATGAAGTAATCTGTTAAAAACAGTGGTAGAAATCCAGTGAAAAATTTTGCAGTAAATAGTACGGTGTTTTGGAAAACTGCATAGTGATTTGAAGCAGACACACTTCTATATGCTCCATAATGAAAATATCTCAGTTTATAGAAATACTGACTATATTAAAAGTATAATTATCAAAACTATAAATGTTTGATACACTGGGTCCAATTTTGATGATTATGTATTTGTCTTATTATAAAGGTTGTAATAAAAATACCTGATAAATTTAAAATACCTTCAAAGAAATGTTTGTTGTTAATTCATGAAGATAGCTTTGGAGTTAAATAGAATAAAATTTACTTACAGACATGGTGAAACTTCAAGAAGTTGTTTGAACACATTTCAAAAGCTTAGATTTCTTGTTGTTTTAAAGAAAGGACACAGAATAAGTCATTGTCAGTGAAACTGAAATTCATACCGTGCTTTTAATCTTTTCACTGTCTTTATTTTACTACAAATATTGTTACATTAAGATCTTGAATGCTTTTGTTACAGTAATTGTTACAGGTATCATTTTTTTTGTTTGTTTAGAATTCATTCCAAGTGATGCCATTTTCCTATATTTTTCATCTTCCATTGTTGTTGACCACAACATGTGTTTGACACACGTGTAGAAACTGTATTTGCTGAACTTTTGCTGGGGGTACCCTAAATTCTTGTGATGACAGCAGCAGTTACGGGTACAGCCCGCAGCTGCTGCAGTTGTGGTGGCTAATTCTGTGCCATGTCCCCATTTTCCTCTCCCTGCCCTCAAACTAGGATCTACCCTCTCTTTCTATCTTACACTTCAAAATGTCAGTCCTATCTACACTAGCCAGGATCATCTTCCTGCATGTCTGCCTCTGCTCTCATCAGCCAACTGCTCCCAGCTGCCTTGCGGTGGGAGGGCAGCTCAGGTCAGTCTCTGAACAGCATGGCTGAAGCTCGCTCTGCCCAGTGAGTCATGGAGTGGCACTACTGGCCATGCTACTGTTGGCAACCTGTGTTACCCACTCATTTTTTCAAGAAAAGGCCCACTGTTGACATGCTCATGAACTCGGCTGCATCTTTTTTACTTTTTCAAACTGGTATGGGCAGTTTGGATTGTTTATGCTATGCAGTTAAAAATGAATATTCAGAGCAAAATGCTTATTTTGGAGCATTGGAAGTTATCTTTTACAGCTGGGAGAACGAAAGTTTCTGCTCATGAAAAGCATTGGCATTTTCTAATCTGCAAAGAAGCTGATCTATATCAGGTGGAAGCAAGGGTCTTATGCTCAGGGTTTACTTCAGTGATCACTGCAGGCATCTCCAAATGAAGTGACTAAATGTTCAGAGGCACCACACTTCAGTCTAAAGTTGAAAATAAGGAATACTGTACCAAATCAACAATATGCAGATGAGCTATCTGAGTAGGGGATTTGACCTTGGCATTTTTTCCTGTACTAACTGTTGTGATTCTTATAATGGTTCAAATACCTGACATTCCCTGTGCATTGCC